TGACCAGCATACACTACACATTATAAAGATAAAGGTAACACTCTAACGTAGCCTCTCAAGAGGTTGCTTAGAGCTCCTTGACCATCCACTAAGGCAAAGCACTATCTTCATCTAACTAGACCCTTATTATAAATTTAAAAGGCCCTTCTCTGCTGACTGCCAATGTAAGTAAGGCTCTTCTTCATTGTACCTTGATAGGGGGCTTCAAATTTTCACTGACCACCAATGTAAAGGGGGGAAAGTGCTTCTCCACTGATAACAAGTGTAGATATTCTTTTTTTCAACTGTCAACCAATGGAAGGGTCCCTTGTTCCAATGACCATAAATTAAAAGGGTAATTCTCTGCTGACTACCAATGTAAGGGAGGCTCTTCTCCAGTGATCCTTGATATGAGGGGGCAGTTTTCCACTGACTACCAATGTAAAGGGGGGAAAGTGCTTCTCCACTAAGATGGTGGCTTCAAATTTCCACTGACCAATGTAAAGGGGGGAAAGTGCTTCTCCACTGATCACTAGTGTAGATATTCTTTTTTTCAACTGTCAACCAATGTGAAGGGTCCCTTGTTCCAATGACCATAAATTAAAAGGGTAATTCTCTGCTGACTACCAATGTAAAGGAGGCTCTTCTCCAGTGACCCTTGAGATGAGGGGGCAGTTTTCCACTGAATACCAGTGTGAGGCTACGTTCACACCTATGCATTTTGCATTTGATCGATTTCTGCAGTGCTTTTTGTGGTATGTTTTGCATTTTTGCACATAGTTTTTGATGCGTTTTTGAGGTATTTTGTGGGGGTTTTTTTTCCAACTTGTTGCTGGGCAGATTAAAACGCAAAATGCATCCAAAATGCATCAGAAACTTATCAAAAACACACTGCATGCATTTCTGCAGCATTTCCATTGAAGTATGAACCAAAAACGCAACGTTTTGCATTTAAAAAAATCCCGGCCCTTTTAAAAAAAACTCACTGGGTGAAAACGTGAAGCTGTAAACCTGTCCCATAGGAAATCATGTTAAATGGACTGCTGTGCATTTCTGCAAATCGCAACAGAAAATGCATAGGTGTGAACCTAGACTAAGGGGGTTCTTCTTCATTGACCAATAATGTACACACTCTTTCTCTAATAGTCAACCAATGTGAAGGCTGACCACCAATGTAAGGGAGGGAGACCCTTCTCCACTAACCATCAATATGGGGGAACTTTTCCACTGATTACCAATGAAAATGGGCTCTTCTCTACTGACCACCAATGTAAGTGGCATTACGATTTTCACTATTTTTTTCTGGTCATTATCATTGTTTGTTTCATTTATTTGAACATTATTTACAGCTTGGTTTTTATGATCTACAACTTAGTGGTCACACCAAGGTACCGTGAGATGTTGATATAATAATTTTTAGCAGAGGTTTCCTGAGACCTGAAAATTATTTCAAAGGTTCTTATGAGGTGAAACAGTTGTGAAAGGCTTTTGTAATGTGACAGAACCACAATGACACATATGGCCAATCTCTGAATTATTAGAGTGTCTGCACTCAGGTTAGATCAAGAGACACCAGCATATATGGCCATTAAAAGTTATTATACAGTGAGGGGTTACATTGCTCACGTAAAATGTATCTGTGATGCTTGATATGATAGCAATTGCATCAGAACTTCCTTTTGTTCATAAAGTGATTGTAAAGGCTCAAGGTTTTTTTCTGTGTGCAGCAGTCCCCCCCCCCCACAAACTTACCTGAGCCCCATCCCGATCCAACGATGTGCATGAGACCCTCAACTCTCCAGGGTCTCTTCCTCATCATTGGCTCAGACAGCAGTGGCAGACATTGGTTCTTGCTACTGTCAGTCACAGCAGTGAGCCAATGAGGAGAGTGGGAGCAAGCCTGCTTAGGTGCCCCCATAGCAAGCTGCTTGCACTGGGGGCACTAGGCAGGAGGAAGGTGCCTGGAGCACCAGCGGGGGACCCGAGAAGAGGAAGACCAGGGCTGCTCTGTTCAAAACCACAGCACAGGCAGGTAAGTATAACACATTTGTTATTTAAAAAAAAAAACAAGCCTTTAATATCATTGTAAATCACTGGAACATGCCAACCAATGGTGTATATAACTGGAAACAAAACTGAATACTTAATATATCAGTGAGAAATGCTAAATAGATATATAAATAAATATAAACACACCTGTTACAGAGTAACAGGAAGTTGCCGGTCAGCCATCTTGGATCCTGGAAATTCCATTCACAGACACAGGAGGAGTGTTCCTGAGGATCTTTGGAGGCCAAGGAAGCTGCCATCTTGACCTCTGTTTGATGTGCTGTTGCCGTGGTGCTGCACACATGATCAGGACGTATGAGTGGAGGAGAAGTGGAGACCCTGTGATCCCCTGCTGAGCTACCGAAGGAGAAAGATTGGCCATAGAGGAGATTAAGTAGCCTTTTGGCCCCTTGAGGGTCAGTGCGGGGAGGTGAGCAGGCACTGCTGCCATTTGAGGATTTGTGTGTGTGTGCGCACTAGAAGTGAAGACCACGTTTTTTCACAAGCTACACCTGCATGGACTTTATTTATTTATATATATGTTATATGTATATACATTTTTGGTATATGCACGTAGAAAAGTTTTTTTATACACTTGTTCACTTTTTGAGTTTGTGATCATTTGTTCACTTAATGAGCACCACATTTATTTATATTCTTCTGTGAATGAGAAGAAGTTTTTATCGGAGGTATTAGATTATTCATCACTGGTGTGTTTATATTTATTTATATATCTATTTAGCATTTCTCACTGATATATTAAGTATTCAGTTTTGTTTCCAGTTATATACACCATTGGTTGGCATGTTCCAGTGATTTACAAGGAATTATTACACTATAGCACTTATATTCACTGACGGCACCTAATATATGTATTTATTTATTTATTTAATTTAGCGCTTCACTGTTTAAGATATATATTATTGGTTACTGAATGGTTAAGTTTTAAGTGACAGCAGCTGTTTCAGATAGGGATTGTGCCTATATTGAGCGCAGGAGGATACTCTAATAAAGCCTTTAATATCACTTAAACTAATCATCAAGTCATTCAAAGAAAATGTGTATAGAGAAAAAAATGAGTGCAGCCTAGGCTAACCTGCTTTAGAAAATGCTAGTTTGTCTGGCTGTTGACCCTCCTTGTCTGGATACCTTGAGTCACTGTTCGGATAAAGTTTTCTGACTTAAAGCAGAGTTCCTCCCCCCACCTCCCTACTCAAAAAAAAAAAAATAAAAGTCAGCAGCTACAAATACTGTTTATACTTTTAACATTAAGGCACTTACCTGTCCAGGGATCCAGCGGTGTCCTTACCCCACGCCGATTCTTCAGTCGGCTGTCAGGTGCTGCTGCCGCCATCTTGACTAAAGGAAACCGGCAGTGAAGCCTTGCAGCTGTGCGAAGCGCAGTGCACTTCGTGAATGGGCTGCAGTCGTCTGGGACCTGTGAAATGTCTCAGAGGGCTGTGGGGGGGGGGGCCCGAACTTCCAGCTCAGTTCACCATGGCAAACTGTGCTGGAAGTTTAAGTGGATACCTGTCTAAGCCAGGTACCCCCCCAAAAGGTGCCAAATGTGGCAGCGGAGAGGGGGAGGAATAAGATAAGCGGAGCTTCCACTTTTGAATGGAACTCTGTTTTCATCCAAACTTTCTTGGTCTGCAGGCTTGCTTTGCGCCAGCAACACAGAAAGTATTGAAGCCAATGGGTCAGCGTAAAAAAATCAGATAACTAGAATTCAGAGACAGGCCTACAATGTACTTCGCCCATGACAGGTATAGCTCTAGGTAAGTGTTAATGGAAACTAGCATTTTTTGGGAGAGGTCCCAAACTGATGTCCAACTTATATCTTCTACCTCTTACCTCAGTGTGATTCAAAATGACCTCTCTGCTCCTCCTCCGACTTGACTAGGTCTTACGACTAACACTTAAACCGGTGTGTAAAACAAACCAGCCTTTTGGGTGCCAGTAGTGAGGGTAGTAAGGATCTCCAATTTAAAAACTGGTGCTGGGGTTTGTCCATTGAGATATTTTTAAATTGCAGTCAGGCATAAAAACATAAATTATTGCAGATCATACAATCCTGTATTGATATAAAATCATTATTTTATTGCAATTAGTAATCCTATAATGAACTGTACAGCAGACCTCTATAACGAAGAGGCAGGGTAGTACTAGTATCCAGTTGCATGTGCTGACTGGAACTTGCCAACAGGGGAAACCAAAGTAGTTGGTAAGGTAACATGGGTTCATGAACACGATTTGCTGTTGCTGCAGTGAAAGCTGAAGATCTGGCAGGGGTGGCTGCTCTGATTTCTAAATCCTCTGGTAGAGAGTACACAGATAGTTCCTCTGTATTTTGCTGCTTGCCAGTAGTCTAGCCTTGAAGTGCCCACACACGTTTGAGGGCAATCAGACAGGCAGACAAAATCTGATGCATCTTAATGCATTTTGGAGACTGATATGCACGCATACACCTCCAGCAATGGACTAGGTTTAATAACCTGTCCAATCATGTCCACTAAGAACTATCAACTGGAGTTATCTGATGGCACATACTGTACATGAGCTCGTCATGTGGTCCAGCGAAAAAAAAAGCAGCCACACCTGGTGAAATGTTACCTGTCTGTACAAGGCTTATTGAAATGTGAACCACAGTTGTTTATGAAGGAGGAAAATTTCATGGGGTCAATTTGTACTGCTAAACTGTAAGGTTTGAAGCCTGGCTGAACTTTAACTAATTGCCGACCGCAGATAGCCGAATGACGGCTGCACTGCGGCCGGCCAGTTCTGGGTGGACGTCATATGACGTCCTCCCAGAACGCACTCTCCTGCGCGCCCCCCAGGGCGCACACCCGGCGATCTCCGTGATCGCTGTGTCCTACGGACATAGCTGATCACGTGACGTGGTAAAAGGCCAATCACAGCGGCCTTTTACCACGTGATCAGCCGTGTCCAATGACACGCTGATCACTGGGAAAATGCAAATGCCGGTTCTCGGCTGCACTTTCCTCACACTGTCAGATCGTGAGGAAAGTACTGCCGAAAACCGGCAGTTGTCAGAGCGGGGATTGGCACCGATCATCAGGGTCACTGATCACCAGTGCCCTGATGATCAGTGCCCAGTAGTGCCACACACAAGTTCCGCCCACCTGTGCCCAGCAGTGCGCCCACCTGTGCCCAGCAATGCACCCACCTGTGCCCAGCAGTGCACCCACCTGTGCCCAGCAATGCACCCACCTGTGCCCAGCAGTGCGCCCACCTGTGCCATCCAGCAGTGTCACCACCTGTGCCCAGAAGTGCCACCTACCTGTGCCCAGTAGTGCCACCCACCTGTGCCCACCAGTGCCACCCACCAGTGCCCATCAGTGCAGCCCAGCATTGCTGCCAGTCAGTGCCACCAGTCAGTGCCCAGTGGTTATGCCAGTCAGTGCCCAGCAGTGCCGCCAGTCAGTGCCCAGCAGTGATGTCAGTCAGTGCCAACTATCAGTGCTGTCTATCAGTACCCATTATCAGTGTCGCCTATCAGTGCCACCAATCAGTGCCGCATATCAGTGCCACCTATCCGTGACAACTCATTAGTGCTGCCTATCAGTGCCGCCTATCCGTGCCACCTCATTAGTGCCGCCTATCAGTGCCCTTCAGTGCTGCCTATCAGTGCCCATCAGTGCCGCCTATCAGTGCCCATCAGTGCTGCCTCATCAACGCACATCCGTGAAGGAGAAAAATTACCTGTTTGAAAAATTTTATAATAGAAACAAAAAAACTTTTTTTTTTCAAAATTTTTTGCACTTTTTTTGCTTATAGCACAAAAAGTAAAGTGCCCAGCAGCAATTAAATACCACCAAAAGAAAGCTCTATTTGTGAGAAAAAAATGATAAAAATTTCATACAATCTTGCATGACCGCGCAATTGTCAATCAAAGTGCGACAGTGCTGAAAGCTGAAAATTGGCCTGGTAAATAAGGGGGTATAAGTGCCCGGTAGGCAAGTGGTTAATATGAAAAGGTATTTGAAGAGAGCCATTATTCACTTTTATAAGTATGTTGCTTTGCCTAGAAGTACAAAAATGCCATTAAATTCAACAATAAGCAGGGTGAACAAAAAGAAGTATTGCTATTTTATTTGCATACATATTCAAATTGCCCTTGGAAATATGAATAGATTCTTAGATCAATGTTCTTCCGAGAATTAAAATTTCTTAGAGCATTCACCATAATGAAAAATGTTTTCTGCAGTAAAAAAAATGTAAAGTCAAATTGCAAGAACGTCAGTGGACCAGCACACATTCAATGATAATATAACTAGCCTGTAATGGAAAATCACTATGCTATTATTCTGTTTATGCAGCTCAGAATGGCAATTAAAAAGGTTACAAGTTATATCCTTAATTGTGTTCAGATATACTATGCTGCAGTGGCTTTAGCACAATAATTGATATATTTTAATTAAGTACATTGAAAGTAAGTCCATCATGAAGAAAATTTGATTAAGTATATACAGGCAGCTACTGTAAGATTAAACTCAGAAAGGTGCCTGCACATAATTTTCTCTAAACTGCCCAGGAGCCCCTGGACCTGGTATTGCTTAACATTTAAATGATCAAAATTTGCTGATAGACTTATAGAATGTCCCCATCAGCAATGAGGATGTAGCTATAGGCATGACTTCTGTGAGTATATGAGAAGTTGTAAATGGGTTGGGGTCTGTTTAACACATGGAATTCCTTAAAGTGCTGGTTCACATATATGCAGAGTGGATGTGGTTTGAACCGCATCCAATCCTCATGACATGTGAAATACGATTGCTTCCTATGGTGCCTGTTCACATATGTCCGGTGCACTAGCAGTGCAGATTCAGTGTGGATTATAAAAGAGTCATGTCCGATTTCTGAGCAGTGCAGTCCAGTTCAGGTGCGGATTAGAGGCTATTGACTTCTATGGGAAGCGTTTTAAAAATCAATATGTGTTGAGGTAATACATACCCTGACAGGGTATCCATTAGTCTACCACAAAGCATCAAAGCACACTGTGCTTTGAAATCCCTATTTTAGATCACCTTATTAACACAAAGCAGGGTACAGTGATTACCACAGAATAAGTGAAATTCTGTTTTTAGGTTTCTTTGGAGGTTGTAATAAGCAGTTTGGAGTACTTATGTATGAAATATGGGCTAGCCAATGACTTGAAGGACTGGGAGGCAGAGAGAAATGCATGTTTTTCTGTTTTAGTAAATTTCATCTCTATGTATCATATGTATAGAAAAAGGAAAAGTCAGGGTTTGGTCCATATGATACAAAGAGATGAAACTTCACTAATACAGAAAAAATATGCGTTTCTCTCTGCCTCCCATCCTTCAGTGTATATCTAAAAAAAAAAAAATGGGTCAGACTCGATGGACCACTTGGTCTTTTTTCTGCTGTCACTCTTCTCTAATTGGCTTCATGTTTTGACCTGTAGATTGTAACACTAAAAATATCACAAGTCAGTTCATCATTGGACTAATTTATAAAATACTCAGGGAAGGATGGATTACTTATAGCAACCGTTTAGATTCTAGCTGCCATTTTTGTAGTGGAGGTTGAAAAGTGAAAGCTAACACCTGATTGGCTACTATGGACCAAACCCTAACTTTTCCTTTTTCTATACATATGATACATAGAGATGAAACTTCACTAATACAGAAAAGCATGCGTTTCTCTCTGCCTCCCAGTCCTTCAAGTGTATATCTAAAACAAAAAAAAAATGGGTCAGACTCGATGGACCACTTGGTTTTTCTGCTGCCATGTGCTAGCTTTCACTTTTCAACCTCCACTACAAAAATTAGCTAGAATCTAAACGATTGCTATAAGCAATCCATCCTTCCCTGAGTATTTTATAAATTAGTCCAATGATGAACTGACTTGTGATATTTTTAGTATTACAATCTACAGATCAAAACATAAAGCCACTCATAGAAGAGTGACAGCAGAAAAACCAAGTGGTCCATCGAGTCTGACCCATTTTTTTTGTTCTAGATATACACGTAAAGGACTCGGAGGCAGATTGAAATGCATGCTTTTCTGTATTACTAAAGTTTCATCTCTATGTATCATATGTATAGAAAAAATAAAAGTCAGGGTTTGGTCCATAGTAGCCAATCAGGTGTTAGCTTTCACTTTTCAACCTCCGCTACAAAAATGGCAGCTAGAATCTAAACGGTTGCTATAAGCAATCCATCCTTCCCTGAGTATTATATAAATTAGTCCAATGATGAACTGACTTGTGATATTTTTAGTGTTACAATCTACAGGTCAAAACATGAAGCCACTCATAAAAGAGTGACAGCAGAAAAAAGACCAAGTGGTACATCGAGTCTGACCCATTTTTTTGTTTTAGATATACACTGCTCAAAAAAAATTAGAGGATCTGTCCCACCAGGTTCATCTTTTTTTGTGGACCCAAGATTCATCATAGCATTCTCGTCTCCACAGGCGTTTCATTGGTGGTATGATCATTCCTTTATCAGATTATCTTATTTTCAAAGAGGAGGATCTTATATCACTTTTGAGATGCTGCGCACACTTTTTGATATCCCACTCTGAGAATATTATCGTTACAGGCAAATTAGACATTTTTTTCATACACATTTTGATTTGACACCTTCGTATCCCAATTACTTTTTTCGAACGTACTAGCCGTGACTCTCCTAGGGGCAGGGGTCTTATTCGGATTTGTATCGTCTTTTTTTGGTAACTATCTATTCCTTGCCCCCCTTATATAGACAGAAATGGGAGGCGGATAGTGGTGTCACTTTTTTCTGAAGAGGATTGGGACCCCATGGTAGATAGTATACGTAAAAGCTCTATTTCTTTTTCTGTTCGGGAGACGGCCCTCAAACTACTAACCCGCTGGTATTATACCCCTTCTAGGCTGAGTGTTGTGTTCCTGGGGACATCCCACCTGTGTTTCCGAGATTGTGGCCTAGCTGGTACCTTGCTGCACACATTTTGGGCTTGCCCAAACCTTTCGTTGGTATGGTGCAAAGTCTCCGAAGTGGCCTCTGCTCTGGCAGGTGCACCTGTGCATCTGTCTATGCAGTCTTGCCTGTTGGGAGCTCGCATTGCGGGAATACGGATGGGGGTTATGAGGCTAATCCATACCATCCGTGTTTCTGTCCTGTGGGCCATTGCCCTGCACTGGAGGTCGCCCTCGGTGCCATTGCCCTCGGTTTTGCAGAGAGTTGATGCAGTGATGCTCATGGAGAGAATTTATTATAGGTTACTGGATAGAATGCAGTTATTCGACAGAAAGTGGGAGGTTTGGGAAAACTCATAGACATTTACTATATGAATATTTATGATTTAATTTATCGTGTTTTTCTGTTGGTGCCATTATTGTTCTCCCTACCCTCTTACCTATCTTGCTCATACACTTAATTTTTATGCCTTACATGATTGTACCTTTTTGGAATGTATATTACAGATGTACCTTTTTTCCATTTTATATGTTACTTGATGCTGTAATGTTGTCTTTGCAGCCTATTTCATAAAAACTAATAAAACTGTTTGTAAACAAAAAAAAATTAGAGGAGCAGTTTTTAATCAGAGTATAGCATCAAGTCAATTAAAATCCTGGGATATTGATCTGGTCAGTTAAGGCCTCGGTTTACTTGTTACTTTTTTATATCGATATACATTTTCGGGGAATGATTATTTCCACATTTATTTATGTTATTTTTTATATTTATCTTCAGTATTTATTATCATGAGAACGGAGGTCATTCGCAAAATTTTAACAGCTCAGTTTTCATCCTGTGGCTATAGTGTTAACCTTAGAGACAGCTGTAAATAGCATTTTTATTGAGGGTGTTGCAGGTGTGTTCAGTTTTCTTCTGTTTGCCATGTACTAACTATGTCTTTGATATACTCTATTTATTGTCTGTCAGCACAAAATAAAGTGAAATCATTTATTGTACCTACACTTTAAATAGACTGGAAAAATAAATATTATTGTGCAGCTATTTCATAGGAACATTTGAAAATCACTTAGATTCTACATCTTGAATTACAGTTCATGGGCTTTAGAACAGTTAGCAAAATAGTTTCTATGCATTGTGATATCACACACAAAAAGAAAGTAACTCCATGCAGTAACATTGTTGCATTCTGTATGCAGTGCCCCATGAATACAGGGATCTCAGGCAACCTTCTACTTGTGTGTATCCAGATTGCTTAACATGTTCAGCAAAGCAAGGGTAAAGAGCAGGCCTGCAGGCCCCATTACCCCCATGATATGCACATGTAAAATATATCCTGGACTGTAGGGTTCATGTATATAGCTTACATGTCTACACAAACCATAAGTTGGGATCTTCACACACACAGGTTTCACTTTGAACCCATGATAGAAGCGAACCTGAGCTTCTTCCCCATTAGGTAGCTATTACATAGATCAATGACCCTTTTTACATGTACCTGAACAATTTTAGCTGCATGATTTTTAAACTCTCAGTTTATGAATACCATTAATATCTGAGTGTATACAGTCACTTCCAACTGCAAGGTTCAAAGATCTACAAGAGTTTCTAAAGCAACTGTAAATTCACTTAACCTGTTAATCAGGTACTGATC